CGGTGGCCTGGCAACCCTGCTGCCGCCGAGCCTGCTGCTGCCGCCGCGGGCGGGCGGGGCGGGCGGTGCGCTGCACCGCAGAGCGCGGCGACTGCATGCCCTGCCTGCGGCGGCGCACGCATTGGCGGCGGCGGCCAGCGGCAGCGATGCCGCCGGGGGAGGCGGCGACGCCGGCGCTGCGCGCGCCGATGTGGGTCTTGCCGGCCGGGGGACAGCCGCGGCGGGCCCAGGCGGCGCCAGAGGCGGCACCGTGGATGCCGCCAGCGGCTGCGGCGGGGCGACCTTACTCACCATCAGTACGCAGATTACTCGCAGGTCGTCCTGCCGGGGCCAGCAGCCGTTCTGCCGCTCTTGCGCGACATGGCTGTGTCAGCGCAGGCCACTGGGCAGCATCTTAACATCCCCAAATGCGAGGCGCTCTTCGTTGGTGCAGCGTTGGCGGTGGCCAAGCTACGGGCAGAGGTGGAAGCGCGGCGGGACTTGGCACGGCATGAGGCGGGTGGGGGGCGGCAGCAGCAGCAGCAGCAGCAGCAGCAGCAGCAGCAGCAGCAGCAGCAGCAGCAGCAGCAGCAGCAGCAGCAGCAGCAGGGGCTACACCTACCACCAGCGCCGCGGCTGTGCGGGGCAGCAACCCGGCCCTGCAGTCCTGCAGATCAGCGGGCTGCGCTTTGTGGAAGCCGCTCGCTCACTAGGCCTCACCTTCTGCAACGGCCCCACCGTGGTGGACTGGCCGACGCGTATGGCGGAGGTGCAACGCCGCTGCAGGAAGCTAGCGGGCATGCCGCTCTCCATGTTTGGTCGGGGCATCGGCCCGGCCGGCTACGCTGTCAGCATGATTCTATACCATGCTGAGTTCAGCGGCATCGATGCTCCCGGCGGCCGTTGAGCAGGAGTTGCAGCGGACAGTCGCGCGTCTTGTCGTTCACGGCGCAGCGCCTGATGACCAGACGCCGCGCCGATTCACAAGCGTCGCAGCGGAACTCCTTGCCGGCAGCCCCAAGGCGGGCGGCTTCGGCGTGCTGCCGCTGCAAGCGCACGTACGCGGCCGCTGGGCCAAGTGGGGGGCGCGCTTTCTGTTGGGCGGCGACAACATCCCGTGGGTGCACTTGGGCCGCGCCCTGCTGCACGGCGCCACGCCACCAGCCTCCGCGCCCCCCTTGGCCCTGTTGGAAGCCGACCCCGCGACGCTGGCGCCGCCGTTGGCGCGCCTGCGGGCGGGCCTGCTTGCGCTGGGCCCCATGCACCAGCCGCCGCTGTCCGTGTCGCCGGGGGTTTGCTGCTACTTTTACCCCCTGTGGCGCATCACCTCAGCCCGGCCCCCAGTCAGCGTGCTGGAGGACGAGCCGCCCTGCCGGGAGGCGTTGCTGGACCCAGGGGAAACGACGGCCGTGGCGGACGGCAAGTGGGCGGTGGCTCGGGCCGCCGCCGAGGCTGGCCGCTTCGGCACGGCGGTGGCGGCCGCAATCAACGACGCGGCAGCGGCAGCACAGGCGTCGGCGCCACCAGCGCGCGGCCGCCCGTGGGGCCAGGGCCGGGCGGAGCCACTGGTCGCGGCCTTTGACTGCGTCGCCTGGGCGGGAAACAAGTGCCGCCTGCCGACGGTTGGGGACCTGCTGGCAGCGCTGGCAGCGGCGTGGGAGGCGTTTGATGCTCGCGGGGAAAACAGGCGGCTGATACCTGCAGCCGGCCAGGCCCGGACGTATACGCTTGGCCAGCGGCAGCAACAAGCGCAGCGGCAGCACAGCAGCAGCAGCAGCAGCAGCAGTAGCAGCAGCAGCAGCACAGCGGCAGCAATAGCGGCAGCGGCAGCAACAGCGGCAGGGGCAGCAGCAGCAGCAGCAACAGGGGTTGTACAACCAACAGCAACAACAGCAGGGGCAGCAACAACGGCAGCAGGCGCCGCAGCGGCGGCCGCATCCTGATCAGCAGCAACGGCCGCAGCCGGCGCAATCGCATGCAGGAGAAATACCAGGGGGCCGGCGGGCAGCACAGCAGGCCAGTCCCGGGGTGCATGCGTTGCCTGCCTCTAGGAGCTCGCCGTCCCCGTTTCAGATGGCCTCTTCTTGCTGGCCCCGTGCTGCATGGCACGGTGGGGCTGCGGAGTACCTCAGCTACCTGGGATCTGTTTACATGAGTATTGTAGTGCATGTCGGCATGGCTTGCAGCAGGATAAAGGATACGCACCTACTTGACACCTGCTTCGTGAAGCAGCAAGACGTGTCTCACAGGCGCAAGGGGCGGGTGCGCGCCACGCACAGTGGCATTGGCAAGGCTTAGGCACAGGGCCGACAGCGCCTGAATGCATGAGCAAGCAGCAACCGCGCCCCCTACCTCATCCTTTTCAATCATCCACGTGGCTGAACTCCCAGCAAGCAACCCAAAGAATACACTAGCAACAGTATACATAGCCAGGCCTGAAAAACGTTGGCCCTCGTACTGGCAGGTGCGGGCTCTCTGAAGGCACGTGACTGTTCGACATTCTGGCCAGGCAGCAGGAAGCTGCCGGCAACTACACACTGCCAAATGCCAGCAAACCCGCCACGCTCCTGGGGATTTTGTGCGTCAGGGTCACGGCGGCATCTTGAAGGCACGCACAGCACCAAATGCACAGCAGGCGGCCCTGCAAGAGGTGCTGGCCCGTGTCCAACAGGCGGGTGCCGCCCCATCTTTGTGCATGTGGTTCGCTCGCCTCTGTGCATCACAGCTCTCTGCGGCGACATGGCCAGGCCAGCAGTAACAGCTGCCTTGGCACTGCATCAGTGGTAGGCAAAGAGGTGTGAAGCATTGCACAGGTGAGGCCAGCCGCTGGTAAAGCAAGTATGTGTACATAGGATGCTTGGAATATGACACCGCTGGAAGCGAGCCACAGGTACGAGCAGCTCGGGCATGAGGCATAACCAAGAGCCAGAGGCATGTGATGCGGGGTAACCTTGCTTGTGACCAAAATGTCGGCAGCCCGCGCGTCACGGCGCGCTCTGTAGGGTATACGCACGTCAGCAGTGAGTTTGCCTTGGCGTCGGGCGAGGAACCCGCCCCCACCCGTAAAACGTGCAAGAGTATGGCACACCTGACCGCACGCGCGGCGTGGGGAGGGGCTAAGAAAATGCTTGCCAGACCTCAAGTCCCTTGATCCCTGGGAGAGCGTGCGGCGACTGCAAGGGCTGTATCCGACACCGCCAACAAACATCAACGGCCCTCATCTTTGCCTTGCAAACGCATGCACTCCCTGCTCTGTAGGCAGGAGGCTCAGAGGCCGTCCTTAGAGCCGCCGCCGCCGCCGCCGTCGCCGACGCCCGCGCCCTCGCCCTCGGTCTCGCTGTGCAGCGAGTCTTGCGCGTCCTGCCGCAGCTTGGCCGGCAGCATCCTCAGGGCCTCGAGCGCGTCGCCTGACGTCCTGGCCAGGGTCACGCGAGTCCACCAGACCTGCACACACGCACACACGCACACACCCACGCGCGCCCGCCACAGCACGCAAACACGCACGCACGCCAACCGGCGGCCGCCCGCAACCAGAGGGGGTGGTGTTCGTGGGGGCTTGTCAGGGGATTGCAGAGTGACCGAGTGCGCATCTAAACGAGGCTGAGGTTGGGATCAGCTCAGTATGCATTTCGGACAATCGGCGCCTGGCCAGGCGGGGCAGCGCCTGGCACGAGAGCTGCGTCCCCACGCCGCAGAGCATGCAGCCACAGAGGCCCTGAAATCCTTGAGGCAGCCCATCTGGCCAACGGGCAAGCATGCTAACGCGTGACGGTGCACTCTTTATCAAGCACACTTGTTGACTCCGGACCTGCGCACGCACCCACTGCGCACGCACACGCATAGACATACACGCACGCACGCACGCACGCACGCACGATTGCATGCCCGCGTGCACGCGCACACACGCATGCACATGTGCATGCACCTGTGCACGGTGTCACTTTCCTAGCAAGTTTGGCCGCGCGCATGTGGGGGCGTCTCACCAGCAGTGACCCTTCCTGAACCTTTCCAAGCCTCACAGCCTGGTTGCTCAGCCTGAGCGCGTCGTCCAGGTCTTTCAACAGCCCTGATGTGGGTGGGGCAAAGAGAGAAATTGGGTGTCAGCGGCCTGTGATGACCGGCGGCGCAGCAAACAATCTGCCCCACAGATTGCTGGCAAGCAGCTGGGTTCGTTGAGGGTGGTGCTTGCGTGCACGCGTGTGTTGCTCCCGCGCAGGGACATGTGTTGGCCTGGGTGTATGGGTAGTGGTGCATGACTTGAGTGTGTATGCCCCCCACACGCACTGTCCACAGGTGCGCAGAAGTATGGCGAACGCTAAAGCATGTGTGCACACTACTCTTGACGCTGCCGGCTGAGTGCATCGCTTGGCTCAGCCTGCTAGTGACTGGCCCCACCCTTGTCGCGGGGCTGCAGCTTCTGCGCCAGGTCCGTCGCCGCCATACCCATCTGCGCGGCGGGGTTGCAATGTTGGCGCCCCAGGTGACCCTTGCCCGCCCAGTAGGGCCCAGATGGGATTGATAGACCCGGGGTCGAAGGGCGGCGCCCGCTCTGGCTCCAAGCGCAGGGTTCGGCACCCCTGCTGCCAGCTGCTCGCCGCGGACGCGGGCGGGCCCGCGCAGCTGCCGCGCCGCCTTCGCCCGTGCCGCAGAACGCCAACCCTGCCACCGCGGGCGGCCCCTGTGGCAAAACGTGTGCGCGGCTGCTTGTTGCCAGGCAGGCTGCTGCGAGGTCCCACCTGGAATAGGGATTTGACCTCTGGGAGGTCCCTCCCTGCGTCAAAGGCAGCGCCACCAGGCGAGCCGCCGCTGCCGCCACCACCGCGGGCCCCGCGGCCCGCCGCCGCCGCCGGCGACCCCGCCGCCGGCGACCCCGCCGCCTGATCGCGCGAAGGTTCGTCAGAAAAAGAGGCGCCGCCGCCGCGGGCGCCGCTGCCCGGCGCCGGCGGGCCGGCGCTCGAGCCGCCGCACGGCCGCTTTGGCGTCGCCGCCACCTTGGGTGCGCATGCGGGCGCGCGCGCCGCCCTCGGGGTGCGGCCGCGGGGCCCAGCGCTGGCGTTCGCGTTGGTGCGCCCTGCGCCGCACGGGTCCTGCCCGGCGGGGCCCACCACTGTGACCTCGAGCCACAGCTCGTCCCCCCTGCCCAACCGCCACGCCGCCGCCTCGAGCCGGCAGCCGGCACCCCTCAGATCGGCCAGCTGCCGCTTCAGCTCATCCAGGAATTGGATGTGCTGGCCGGGGCGCCGGTGCTGCGCGCCGCCGCTGACGACGCCCTTGATCACGCAGACGCCGGCCGCGCCGCCCTCGCCGAGCACACGACGCGACGCGGCGTCGGCGCCGACCAGGCTGGCGGCGGCGCGGATCTGCGGCGTCGTGCCATCGTCCGCCCACGGCAGTGGGACCTGCAAGCCCGGCAGCAGGCTCTTCGCCACTTCAGGCGCCAGCGTGAACCTCCCGTCCTGCGAGATGCCGCGCGGCGCGCCGCCCTTCGACAGCGGCTGCGGCGCCATCGTCTGCCGCCTCAGCACGCGGCGCAGCTCATGCTCCAGCTGGCGCTGCAGCTGCTTGCTCGCGGCCCTCTTCCCCTCCTGCCGCTGCTGGCGCGCCGCGCGGCCCTTCGGGCCGCCGCGCGCCGGGCCTCCCTGCCCATCGGATTCGCTGCCGCTGCCGCTGCCTTCGTCCCCCGTAATGTCCTCGCATTCGCTGCCGCTGCGGCTGTCTTTGTCGTGTTCTGATCCCTCGCTACCCCCATCGTCGCTCTTGCCCGCCGGCGCCGCTCCTCCCGCCTTTCCGCCGCTGGCGGCGCCGCCCCCTGACAGCCGCACGCGCTTGTTGCTGAGGCGCTGCGCGCTCGCAAGCGACCGCTGTGCTGCGGCCGCAGCCGGCCCATCCGGCAGCACGCGCTTTGGCGTACGGGTGGCGCGGGTGGGAGCAAGCCCGTCTGGCTGTGCTAGCGCCGGCGCCGGCGTGCCAGCGGCGCCCGCGGCCGCGGCCTCGGCCGGCTCACGCGGCGGCCCAATGACAAACACGTGCAGCTCGGGCTCCTTGGTACCCCCGGCCTCCTCCAGCCGCCAGGACGCCCCCGCCTGGAGGCAGCCGGCGCGCCGCAGGCTGTCGAGGGCGGCCGCCGTGATGCCGCCGCCGAACCTGTACTGGTTGTGTAGGTGCTCCTCCCCGTGCTGCGCGCCGGTCACGACGAGCTCCCCTCGCAGCCACGCGGCGCCGCCCAGCGCCGCGCGCGCCGCGCCGTCGCGGGCGACGAGG